ACACTTTTCTGGAAAAGATTCATTATGAAGCAATTTGTCTGTTCCCAGTAAAGCAGCACATCTGAGGTTATGGTTCCTGCTGCTGCCATGCCCCATGCCCATGTCTGCCCCATCCCTTGTCCTGGCAATATGCAATTGCATGAGTCACTGCTTCAAGGAGCTGATCCAGCTCAAAAGTCTTTTTTTTTTTTTTTTCCTCTTTTTTTTGGCCAGGTGAATTTTCCATTGGATCAGCTGCCTGAGGTGGCCTGCACTGCAACAGGGTGCCAGATCAAGTGGAGGCAGGATGCAGGGCTCGGAGGGTACAGAAGCTGGGCTGCCTCCAAGACCTCTAGCTACAGGGCTAACACTTCTACAGCTGCAACCTCCTCCCTTCCCCTCTTCACTCCAAAAGAAAACCCCAATACTCTCTCCTCTAACAGCAGAGGGACAATCAATGTGTCCTACACAAAACAGCCAGCCAAAGTCATCCCTGAAATTGCTCAGAGTCATGACACGGCGGTATGATCTGGCTTGCTGGGCTACACGCTTGACACCAGCAGCAACCTGCTAAGGGGCTGAGATAAGGGGTGGATTTCTGCCTACAGAATCATCACCTGCTTATGTTTCCTTTTGCCTTTTGTAGAACTTTTGTCAGACGGTTGCTTCTGGGATTCTCTCGTGTGCTTCTCTGGCACGTTTTTCTTTTCCACTTTGGGTGCATCAGCATCCTTGTAAGGCTTCCCTGGTATTCTGGATAAGAGGCTCAGGTCAATCTTCACAATAAGTGGGTACCTTTCATCAGGATCACTGAGTGGTGACAGAAGCTCTTTCTCTTCCATAGGAGAGAACATTCTTTGCCGAAAAAAGCTGTCATCCTCCTCCATGGAAGATTTAACAGGAGTCCTATTGCTCTCAGAGTATTTGGGTGTTTGCGATGAAGGAGGCAGGCTTTCATTTTCATCTGAATCAGAGGATGAGGTATCTGTTTCTATGAATTCCCTGGATTTCTGGGCAGATTTGCTTGATGCCTTATATTTCTTTTTCTCTGTTGTAGGCCGAGGGGAAGATTTGGGCTCTTTCTTTATATTGGGTTTTCTGGAGCCTTTTGTGGCTGCCTTATGCCTGTTTGAAGGTATATTTGTTGCCATGTCTACTGGGGTCTCACTTTCTATTTTAAGACCTCCTCTAGGCTCTTCAACAGATGTCTTTTCTGCTTTCTTGGGCTGCTTTTTACCTACAGTTCTCCTCTGTGTTGAGCTGTCACTCTGGGCAGGTGATTTCTGCCTGCCACGACTGCTCTCTGAGCCCTTCTGGGTAGGTTTGGAATCTCGCCCCGGTGTAGAAGAGATCGAGTCCTTGGATCCGCTTTGATCAGTGTACCCACTCCCTGTCCCCTGATCCCGCCCCTCTTTTTTGTAGCCTTGGGAGGATGGGATATTGCTGTCCACAGAAGAAGCTGGTGACACTTTGTGTGAATTAACTTTGTTCAACCAGTTATCCAGTTGCCACTTGTTTGTTGGTGGTGGCTCTGGCTAAAAACAAATTAAAAAAAAAAACAGTGTTATTTAAAATATTTCACATTTCTTCCACCTTTTCCACAGGACAGCTGTACTATGCTGCCTGCCAAAGCCAGAGGTACACGAAAAACACCTGAGATAAATAACAAATGAAACTGGTTGATGAATATAGGTACAAATAACACCTCTCATTTTTCCTTCATCTAGAGCAGCTGCTATCAACAGCCAACACTTGCTGCCAAAGCATTTCGGAGTAAAAGCCTACAGTTCTTTAAGGTACTGTCTCTATATCTAATTTCTGCACTCCAATAGATAACTGGTGGTAAAAATAACCTCAAAATCCAACATCAAAATTATATAAAGAATTGCCACCATATCCAATTACAGGTACTTCAGCAAAAGAATATTCCATCTGGGAAGTGATCCCACCTTTGTCAGTCTAACTTTTTTTTTTTTAAACACAGTTTGAGAACTTATTAATTTTTTTCTGCTTTTAAAACTCAGGACTAATGCCAAGCTAATGAAGACCATCCAAATACATGTCAAATCCTACCTCGGGGGACGCACTCTGTGATGGTTCATTAGCTTCACTATCACTGGAACTGCTTTCACTTTCAGAGTCAGATCCTGAACTGCTTTCAGATCCACTGTGGCTGCTCGAGTCATCCCTTGAATTATCTGCTCCTTCACTGTTATGCTGTGAAGGTTCAGAATTACTGAAAACAAAAATGACAGAAAGTAAACAAACACCATCCAAGGCACAAGAAGTCCTTTCATTAGAGAGAATAAAATGTAATATTTTAATTAACATTTACTAGAAAATTCTAAATAACTGGACACAGTTCATCCTGGAAACAATCAAGTCTCTGTTTTTTCCCCCTTCCCAAAGTGGTTAGTATAATTTGCAGGATATACACTATTTAACCACTGATTAAATTCTAATCACCTTTTGCTTTAACATGAGACAAAAAACAAACATGAATTTTAGAAATGAGATCAAGTCAGAAGTGCTGACTGGACTGAATATATCAGCACTCCACTTTCTATGCCGCAATCTCCCAGGAATTCCTACCTTCCAGGTGTGCTCCTTGGCACTGTCTTATCGCAGTCCTGCAATTAAGAGAAAGAGCATGAAGCTTCTAGAAGTTACTTCAGGACTGTATATACAATTAAATTTAAAGGCATCAATTTAGAGCCTTTAAATTTTTAAACTTATTTAGCCTGAATAGCACCTCAATTCAGCACTTGGCAGCAGTTTAAATTTGTTTCCATTTTCCTTATACAGAAAGAAAAATAAATCAGTTTTCTCCAAGTTTTCACCACATTATCTCAGAGTCCTACATATTCTGACTAGAGTTCTCAGAGTTCCTATTTCTACCACTCACAAATACCACGGCTCCATCTTTTTGCATCAGATTGTCCAACATTTTACAGCACTATTCCTGAGCTACCCAGTGTACTAGGCACTTAACCAACTAAATGCACTAACTCAAAGTCTGCCACATGAAGAAAACTAAATATTAGAACTGGGAACAGGAAGAAAAGAAACAAAAATGGAATATGGATTACTGTTGGGTAGCACAGAACCTACAGGTATTTTTAATTTAGCATGCTAAATGTCATTTCTGGCAGAAGCTGCGTAAAGTTAATATTGACAAAAGAAAAAAAAGGAAAAAAAACACTTTTCAAGAAAAATAAAGGTGCTGCTATACTCCCAGTTACAGACACAGTAACCCTTACTATTCCAAACACAATCTCAAGCTACTAAATGGCAGAACATGAAGGGTTCTATCTTTAAATGACGGGCCTTCACATGGATTTTAAAGTACACTATTGCCATTTTATGTTTGGTGAAAGCCCATTTGAAACCAGCAAACCAAGATTTTCTAGACAAAAACAAACTGTTTCCAGAAAACAGATCATTTTCCCCAAGTTTACATTTAGGAATACCTGAGGGTTGTCTAAAAATATGACATTTGATTTTTGTTTCTGAATCATCCATCTCCTCTGAAGCTGCTCAAGTGCTGAACC